ATGAGCGGCATTTAATGAGACGAAAACAAAACAACCTCGCTTAATGGAGATTCGAACGAAGAAAACATTGTCCACGAAAAATAGGTCATGCAGTCTCGTCGGTGCATGCATCTTCCTCCGCCGTGTTCACTTTGCAAATTTGACCACCTTGATAAAGCGTGAATTTAATTCATTGCGTCCGTTTTAGAAGGGTTACTTGATTTAGTGAACGTTCTTTTAACTCTCGTATGGAAAAACGTTTTTACATCTAGGATTAAAATATTGCAGAAGGGCTAAAAATGGATATTATAATGAACACGCAAACGTGTAATTATACACAGAGGCTTCACTACGGCGCTCGTGTGGTGCTGACGACAGAGTGGATGGAGTTAATTTTTTTGCCGAAATCGCAGTACTGGCAAATATAAGAATTTTCGTTTTATATTTTGCCCTCTGCCGAAATAAGCCAATTTAGGAGCTCCTCGGCGGATACTGACTTCATACCCGGTATCAACTCTACCAACATCGTGCAAATGACACAAACTACATTTTCTTTAGGAGGAATAGAAGTTCTTCACCATATATTTCACTGTTACTATGATGCTGCCTAATGACTTCTACCCTTAAAAATTTTCTCAGGTTCATTTGAAGGAATAAATATAATATGGTGAGAGAGACCCTAAACTTAAATACTAGATAAAAAAGTATTTCTTACATTTCTCCCTCTCTATAATTGTTCAGATAAACATCGACTTTCGCGTTCAGATTATCCGATTTCTCAGTAATTTCAGAGGAATTTTAATGTAAAATCAAGGACAATTCCTAGCCTTTTCCTTAACGGGCTAAACACTATCAGGCATCGGAATGCAGTCATCAACTTCTTCATAAGGAGACCTACTACTATCCGTCAAGAGCTTCACCAACGTAAGGAAAAACACCGTAAGAGATCTCGAATGTTGCTGAATGTAATTTTATTTTCGATAAGAATTATAAAAATTATACTTAATTCATCTTTTTCCATGGAATCTCCAGATAAACTGGATTCAGCTTCAAGTAAAATCCGCTGACAAGCATTCTACCGTGATGAGGAAGGTTCTCCTACGAGCCTTCAGACATTGCTAAATTTTCTTTGATTAAACATGAATTTTCAGTAAAACCTCCGATTACTTATTTTGTCCTTCGACTTTTCTGAGAATTTTATTCGCAATCACATCTGAATTATCTGAAAATTTTAGGGGTAAACAAACAAAAATCTACGGAAAACCACACTTTCTTTAAAAGGATTCGGCAGCTCTCGGCTGTTCATTCAGCATTTCTCATCAGCGCGGCGGCATCCTAGTAAACTCGTTTTCAAACGGAAGAAATCTGACAAATCCGAGCTTTCATACGTCGTTTTTCCTCATCACGGCGGCGTGAATTCCTTCATAAAAAAAAATCATGAATTAATAACACTCAATTCACCAACGTCTGACAATGTACAAACAAGAGAAAAACGCCGGCGCGATAAGGCCGCGGGGAAAATCCGCGGTTTTCCACGAACCCCCTCCGCCGCTCCCGGATCTAGGCGGGGCCGCGGGGGGCCAAGGTGGCGCTTAAAAGGGGAAGTCCGTTTCGTCGCGAGGCCCGAGTAAAAGGCCGGGGTTCCCCGACGCCAGAGCGCGGCTGATACGCGAAACGGCATAAAATAAACGCGCCGGCGAAGCATGGTCTCACGTCACGTGGAGAGACTTGCGTTAATAACTCGTCCTGCTCCCAGCTCACTGATCCCAGAAAAAATCTCGACTCGGGAGCTCGCCGTGGTGAACTGCATCGCCGTGCTGAGGAAAAACTCCGTATGAATATTTCGACGTTGCCACGTTTTTTTATCAGCCCCAAATATCGTCAAACCAAATATCAGTTCGCCAAACCAAATTTCAGTTCGTCAAGCCAATTTTATTAAAAAAAAAAATAAGGAATGACAGGAAGTCTGCGACGTCGCAAACCAAGTTATGTGATTGCCGACTTACACCGTCGAAATATCGTCACCTTCCAGGCAAAGTATCACAAGCGCCATGCGACGTTCAAAAATTTCCGCCGCCATTATATTTTTTTACAGAGAAATTGTTCAACGAAGCTGTCCGAAAATTACACCGAATTTTCTTTGTGCTGCCGATAAAATTTAGTGTAATTTTCGAATAGATTCAACCAACAATTTCTCAGTAAAAAAAATAAAATGGCGGCGGAAATTTTTAAACGTCGCATGGCGCTTGTGATACTTTGCCTGGAAGGTGACGATATTTCGACGGTGTAAGTCGGCAATCACATAACTCGGTTTGCGACGTCGCAGGCTTCCTGTCATTCCTTATTTTTTAAACGGAAAACTACTCAACGGCAGTTCTTTAAAACTGCCGTGATTTTTCTTCTCTGTGCGAAAGAAATTCTGCATAAATTTCAAGGAATGATGTCAATTTGCTCTCCTTTAAAAAATTAAAATAGAGGCGGAGATTTTCCGACACCGCAAACGAGTTATGTGATTGCCGACTTACACCGTCGATATTCGCTCTTTTCCTTGAGGTTTTTGGGTGCGCTTTTGCGAACGAGCACATTTCGGAGAAAAGCAGTTCATGCATTTACATCGACCCCAGAGTTTCATGAAAATTTATACGCTTTTGTCTCTTGAGATTTTCGGATGCGCTTTTGAGGATAAGCACATTGTAAAAAGAAGCATTTCATGAATTTTCTCGATAAAAAATGATTTTTTTCACGAGAAATTAAACTGCGTTCGAAAGTTCACGCGGTTTTTTCCTTCGACAACGTGGAAAAATATCTATTTTCGTGAGAAGTTTGGTGGCGTCTATAAGTTCAAATGGGTTTTTTCCTTGACAAGGCAGAGCAGTAGTAACCACGTTCATGCGCATGGTAGTTTTTTCATTCACATGTTTTGGTAGAATTTTCTCACTTTTGAAACTGTTGCTCTCTAGTCTAAGTACCGTACCAGAAAAAAAAAATACAAACTCAGCTGTTCTAGAGTTTACAAGTAAAGAAATAAAAATTCCTCTACTTCTCTCTCACTCTAAGAAATTCTCCATTGAAACAATGACTCGTGGAGAGTCATTTGCAACACCTTGAGAACTCTTCTGTCAATCAAGACTTCTACTTCCCGGGTGAAATTCAAGCTCGATAGGCACTTAGACCAATCAACCGTTGATTCATAGAAAATTCGTTGAAGATAAGGGTGAAAATGTGTGGCTTGAAATGTTATGCCGAGTACTTATACGTATTTCTGGAGGCAGAATCTGTAGTGGTTCGGGTGTCCGTCTTCTTTGCCACCACTATGCAATCTATTTACATGCAAAGATCCAAAAATTGTTTAACTTTTTAAAAAATGTACGTACACGATTCATATTATTTTTGGTGGATTCCTCTCATATCATGCAAGCACGTGTCGATTTTTGCACGGGGAAAAAATCAAGAGTCATCTACCCAGTATTCCTACCTAATTTGGGACTCAAAATAGAGAAAACCTGCAAGGTAAGTAAATCCAGAGCAAACTGAAACCACACTGGGGGAAAAAAAAAACACATTGGATCTAGAGTCCAGACTCTTAAAAACACCGACAAGAAAAAGTACTCTTGATTCAATCAGAATCTAGCTTAAATCAAGAACCAAGCCTCTTAATTAAAGCGGATTTCGTTTTGATTCAAGCAAAAATCCGATTGAATCAAAGCTGAGTATTTTTTCTTGTCAATGTTTCCAAGAGTCTGGACTCTAGATCCAATGTGTGTGTTTTTTTTTTTTTTTTTTTTTTTTTTTTTTTTTTTTTTTTCATTGCAGTGATCAACCAAAAATCATCTGTGAAAAATATTTTGTTGTTGAACGAATTGGGACTTTCGCTTAAAAGTGCGTTTAACGACTTAAGTAACTCCTTGGGGCTTCGGCACCCGTCGGCATGCGGCACCTCTCGGAAGCGTTTCGTATCGATTGAGTGCCGATGCCGTGACGAAGTGCATGCGAATCTTCGCGCACTCGAGTTCGATGACATGACTTAAGATTGCGACACTGATAGCGGATAAAGCTCCTACTCCTGAGATTAAATGCATTTCAAGTGATTTCCAGATAAAATTGTTTGCATTGTTGATTGATGATTTGTCGCCTGTCTTAGCCGGCGGCGCTAAGAGTAAGGCGCAAGAGACCTCATTAGACGACCCAACACTTGACTTACTTTAAGAAAAATGTGTGACGTGGGAAATTCCTAGGGCCCTTACGCTTTTTCTCCGAGAAGCTCAGTACTTGGTCGTTGGAATTTCAATGCCCTACTTGGACAATTTTCACGATCAAAAAGTATTCCAGAGGAGGCAATAACACACTCATGAGAGATTGATTTCAAGAAAATGGGAGAAATCACAATGTGGGGCAAGAGAATTCAAATACTAAAATTTTAATGCCATATCAAGCTTTCAGCCCCTCGGACCCTTCCTCCTTCTTGACCAAGCCTTTGCCTGTAGTCAAATTTTCGCACGGCTAATGAAATGCAAGGAATGTGCTTCCGGGTGGAGTAGACTAACTCCCTAGTTGTACATGATTAGCTCCTTCGGATTAAAATAAAACAGAATTAGGTACCTAGAGGAATCAAGGGGAAACAGTGAACATGGTTCGTGCCGGCTTGAAAGCCAAAAATTACTGATGGAACACTCCAATATGTTCAAGTCCATACTTGCTACTTTTGCATAATTTTACGTGTCGCTTTGTACAGATTGAGATTTTTTTTTTGTGATTATAATCAAAGAATCAAACCATTTTAGGGAACTTTTAAGAAAAGTTCCCACAGAATTTTCAACGATTTATAATGAAACTGCCCACATGTGAGTAGGTAATCAAAATAGATAGCACCACTTTCTCAGTCCAACAAAGTAAGTATTCAAATTTGATTTTCAAATCTGATGTGATCGAGAGCTTTGCGGGGCCAAAGTATGGTCGAAACATAGAGGAATTTCTACTGTCTAGATACATGGGCCGGAATGAAGGAGGTCAATAGGACTCACCGGATCAACTTCAACATCCCAGAAGTCATTGAGGACGTTCGACTCGATGTCGTAGAACTTGTCAACGTTGAAACTTTCCATCATGATGCTATCGACCGAAAACTCAAAAAACAACGGATCCAAAAACCACCTTGCGAGAGGCCTGTAAAAAACTCAGCCGTGAAACGCGGCTAGGAGAACTGTTATATCAATCGGGGCACGTGAAAGGGTTTATCGCGAGGAGCACAGGGTTCTGAAATCACTGAAACGTTTGAAAACCGAACTGTTTCATGCTGAACATCACTGTAAACAAAACACAATCGAAATCGCCGGCAGATTGTAGGCAGAACGGGAGTCACATGACACACGCGGGACGCACGGCACCTGTTGAACGAAGATCCGAAGTCGTACTACCACAAACGCGGACACCACGCGGAGTTCTGAGCGCCGGCAGCGCTGCGGGGCTGCGGCGGCGGCGCGCCGAACTCCGCGCTCACTTCGCACTTCGCATCGCGCCTACCGGCAGTAATGAGCGTTCCTGCTGATAAGGGGAACACGATGATAAAAAGCACATAATGACGGTTACATCAGATGAAATGGAGCACTTCCAGCTCCCAAATTTATGGCCGCAGCATGGTGGTTGTGACGGCGCGGCGGGGGGAGCAGTAAAAATGATAAGGAGCAAATCTGGAGAGAACCTCATTCATTTCGGTATCATTTTAATTAGGTCTCTTGTTCTCGAATTCTTTAAACTTGGCTTTCGGCTCCGTTGCAAATTAATAATTGGAATTGGGAACTATCTCTGGAGAACTGTTGAAAGTTTCGGAATGAAATCAGGAGTGCATTCAGGACCGGATTGGCTATCGCCACCGAATAGAGGAGAATCGAAAATGAAGAACAAAAGCTCTGGAATTATCTGTGAAACTCATTTTAAGTAAAAATTATAACTTACACGGAGAGCCCAGGCCCGACCAAGAGAAAATTAGGGGCCTGGCCAAGCTCTAACCAAAAGACTACTTTTACATGAATTAATTTTTAATACGTGTTTAAATTTATTGTTTGTATTCATTTCTCTATGTGCTGATTGTTTTTTCATCATACAAATTTTTCGATACACAAATACAGCAATTTAGGATTATGCTTTTTCCCACATAGCGATTTCAAAGTAATGAGCAGCAAAACATCTCGCAAAAAATGAAATAATACGGGGTAAAGTCAAGGGTCGGACTGGCTCGCATCTATGGGCTGGTTAAGGGGGCGTAATGTGATATTTCCTGGTAGGGTCTTTCCTACGTGGAGAGGGGCTCAGAAAATTTTGGCAAATCAGCACAAGTTTACGCTATTTTCAGGTTCAAAGTTTATTGATAAGTTAGTTAAGTTAGTTTATTGATAGGTTAGTTGTCACGAAGTAAAAATTGCAAAATCGAACGTGAAGCACAGCATTGAGAACTCACGCTTCGCGTCATCGCGCCTTCAATTTTTCAGATGCAGCACGGACGTCCATCAAGTACGAATAGTTGTATCTCTGCGCCGTCGTTAACGCGCATCCTTTCCCTAGCTTTATTTCCATATTGTGTTTGTTTGCGTTCGTTTTATTCGTAATGGTGCTTCAAGCACTACGTGAATAACACAGCCGAAGGTAGGGGATATGTGTTCGGGCCTCTTTTTTAACTTTTCTCCTGAATCTGAGCGACAACTCATTGGCAGCATATAGCAGAGCATTGAGAACTGACGCTTCGCGTCATCGCGCCTTCAATTTTTCAGATGCAGCACGGACGTCCATCAAGTACGAATAGTTGTATATCTGCGCCGTCGTTAACGCGCATCCTTTCCCTCGGTTTATTTCCATATTGTGTTTGTTTGTCTTATTTGTAATGTTGCTTCAAACTAGAGCAGAGCATTGCGAGTTCACGACTCACGGCATTTTTCTTACATTTTTCATATACAATGTGGACATCCATCTTGCGCGAATAGTTGTATCGCGTTTACATTTTAGATGTCTCTTATTTTTTAATTTTGAGATGAATTAAGGTTAAGTTGTTAAGGTTTTAGAGTTAAGAATTAAGGTAAAAATCTCGGAAGTTATTAAAATATGACGTTGAGTTGCCCATTTAAAAAATTAAGTATGACAGGAAGTCTGCAACGTCACAAATCAAGATACTTGGTTTGGGAGTCACTTCTGAAGTATATTTTAGCGAGATGATTTATCTTGGTTTTTCGTACTTTTCATAAAACTATAAGACATTGTACGAGGTCATTCCAATTTTAAAAAATCGTGAAACTGTGCAAGTTATGATCTTTGAAGCGTAGTAATAAAATTTGATTTACCTCTCACAGTATATATTCTGGCACATGAGCTATTAATTATTGAACACCCTGTGGTACAGAAGTGTCCTTAACATGGGTGGTCCGCTTTTTAAAGCGTAAAAATCCAACCTGCGAGTATTAAATTGTTGAAACAATAGCTTATCAACCGCAACTTTGAAATTATCAGTCACGAGCCAGTATATTGAAAGTGTTAATGGTTGTCCTAATAAAACTGTAAGATAGATTCTAACGAAACTATAGATTTGTCAACAGAGTTCATTGTTCCTACTTAAGTCTTATCCTCTTAAGAGAAAATTATGATTTGTGACGAGAAAATATCTTTAATAGTTTCAGTTGATCCCAAAAGCTCCTGGTCACAGCTATTAACAATTTAGTTCGATGACAACATTTTTCAGCAAACAGTCAGCTTCCTTAGTTCATGGATTTTCAGGTCATTAAAAAAACGATTCGTTCATTTTTTTGTTCTTCATTATTTTTTCTGGCGATAAAATTTCTGCCAATGTTGTTTGATCTGCCGCGCTAAGGAAAAATGTCGTATGAACATTCGAGAGCTGCCAGATTTCCCCGGATACAACATGTATTTTGAAGAAAATGTATATGCTTATTTTTCCTTGAAATTTTCAGATATTCTAGAATAAATTGCGTGCAAGATTGTTTGAACATTTTGAGGAAAAAAAATTCATAATTGTCCAACTAAATTCTTTCTACTGAGGAAAATATGGCAGCGTCTGAAGGCTTATACGGCGTTCTTCCTTAACACCTCAGTGTTGTCTAGTTTCCTGATCAAGACATGTTAAAATGTAGTTAGGCTGATTACAGTTAAATTCGCCCAATTCGTCGTCTCTCTGACATAAGGGCGTTTTTCGATTTCCATTTGAGCCCTGTTTTCCATATAAATCCATGCTTTCTGCGGCTCATATAAGAATAGAGGTACGCCTTTGCGTCAGAGAGACAACGAATGTTAATTCGTCGTCTCTTAGAACGAACAGAACAGCAAGTAAAACTAAGATGTTAACACGAATGAAGTATGCTTCTTTTTTTTTTAAAACTATCTGCATTCTCCGCAACTTGCGAGAGACCAAGTAGAGGTAACACGGAAAAATAACTACTTACAACACATACAAGAATGATTCACGAAAGAGAGGACTGACATTTTTCATGTCTTGTCTCATGACTTCATCCTCAAAGAAATACCATTCCAAGAGTTTTAAATGGACCGCTTTTAACAGGAAGGAACCGAGCTACATCAGCTATTGCCAAATTTAATGCCGCAATGTAATTTTTCACATGAAAACGGTTTTGCGGAATTCCGTGTGAATTTCAGTGAATTTTCTCCATAGTAAGGAGCAAATTCCTTAAAATTTTCAAAAAAATCCGCACAATCGTTCTCTTGTAAAAAATCAATGTGCCTCGTTAAATTAGGCAATAGCTGATGTGCCTTGGTTCCTTTCTGTTAAACGCAGTCCGAATATGTGTCAAAAGAATTTTTGAGGAAATTACTGAACAAGCAATTCGCCTGGACGATCGGATTACAATGCATTAGAAAAACAGGTGATGCTCATGACTCATAAGAGCCTTTGTTGATCTTAAAATTCGTCCAATAAATTCAAAGTTCTCGAAAATAGACTTCAACGTAAAAGACTTCTACGTTAAGTACATTCCTTATAATTGTGTGAGACTCGCCTCAGTTTCGAAATGTTATCATTATGTAATGAGAAGTGCATTACAGTGTTCAAAGGTGGGGTTTTTTTCTCAAAAATAGACTTCAACGTAAAAGACTTCTACGTTACATTCCTTATAATTGTGTGAGACTCGCCTCAGTTTCGAAATTTTATCATTATGTAATGAGAAGTGCATTACAGTGTTCAAAGGTAGGGTTTTTCCAGTTGGTGCCCGAAAATTGACAACGGCTCATTGCCTATTCTACAATTGGAAGAATTCCCCATAGGAGGTCGTCTCTAAAGGAAAATTTGATTTTATTTGAACAGAACTCTTTTGAAGCTTTGAGGAAGTGACTTTGCACATTTTGGCCTTTAATTCCACTTAGGAGCTTTGGAACTATAATACTAAAACTTGAAGGCGTGTTTCCAAAGATTTTCAAAACAAAGACTTATTTCGCCCTCCCACAGGCAAACTCCTCAATTTAAATGCGTGAGCAATTACTTGCTACGATAATTATTCGTACCAATCACCTACTCTTCATTGCGATGCACTCAATAACATGTTCAAAGGTGGTGAAACAGGTAACTTTGCGCTCGCATTTGAGGCCTTATATGTAACAATGGCGGAAGTGAAAAATTATATTTTCAAAACACGCTTAAAAAACTGTTTTGTTCACTTAAAAATTTAATATGTTTGGCTCTGGCATAATGTACAGATCTCGAAGATCACATCTCAAGTATTTTCTCAAAATTTTCTCGATGCCAAAACAGTTTTTTGAATGTGTTTCGAAAACGTCAATTTTCATATCCGCCAGTGTTACATATAAGTCCTCATTTATGTTATACAAAATGCACACAAAACCATAATAATAAATAGCATAATTTTAGTTACTTTTGGACAAATTAAAGAAAGAGACTCAGGTCCAAAGAGCGTAGGCACCATACAACTTCAAACCTGTGACACAGTCTCATGATACTAGGAAGTGAAATTTGCTACGTAGAATTTCTAATGAGCTTTTCGGATTTAAGGCTCGAAAAGAGGACCTGCCCTTTACGAACTTCATAATTTTAAAGTTTCTCAAGGGTTTAATGAAGTGTTTAGCGGCTAATCAGCGG